CTATATAAAACATATACCCACTATAAGTATTAATAAAAAGCTCAGACCAAAGAGGTCACCTTAATACTGAAAAAAAAAATAATAATAATTATACTAACATAACTAGCAAGTTATAAGATATCTGTATAATCAGTTATATAGTAAAATGCAAACTGATATTAGGCAATACAAACTCTAAATAAGTTCTTGTAATTATATAAATCTGTTAAAATTAGAAAACAAAAAATCTATTTAAAAAGATCTAAATAAAAAGATATTACAGATCTTCAAGACACTATTATAAAGACTAAACTACTGAAAATAGATACCAATATTAAAATATTTAAATAGACAAAAACTTTTGAGTTGTAAGTCTTAAAGATATTACCAATCAGATCACTAGAATAAACCAGAAAAAAAAATATTGGTCTGATCTAATATATTAATAAACTAATTATAGTTCTATACAGACTATCTAAATTAGGAGTCTGAAGAACAGACAGAAATATACTAAAATACTAGTAATATTCTATAAATTAAATATTAAGTTCAAATAAACTTTATAAAAGCATAGCAGTTAATGATAAAACTTTAACTACAAGTATTAGTTCTGTTATAACACTATCTAAGTTAGTTGTAAAAATAGATACAGAAAGCTCTAGAAGTTTATCTTAAAAATAAAATATTTATAAAATTAAAATAATAATCTGAACATAACTTAGTAATGTTAATACAAGTACAGATTTAGAGGATTTAAAATAAAATATTCAATTAGGAGTATTAGGTATAGCAATTAGTAGAAAACCTTTAAGCAGATTTCTTAAATAAATAATATAAAAAACTTATATATATAATCAATTATACACTTTTTCTATAATAGTTCACAAAATTATATTATCAAAAAAGTTATTAATAAAAATTAAAAAACCAAAAAGATCATCTTAAAAAAAAATTTTTTTCAAATTAAATTAAAATCAAATATTTGATTCAAATATTTAATCAAATCAAATTAAAGATATATTTAATTTAACTAAATTTAAATTAATCCAATATTTAATTTAATTTAGATTTAAGAAACTCTATTTGCAAGTTATAAGATATTTGTGTAATCTTGTTTATAAAGAAAGATACAAACTGGTATTAAACAGTACAACTTTAAGATAAATTCTTATAAGTATGTAAATTTATAGAAATAAAAAAAACTGAAACTCATTTAAAAAATTTAATTAAAGAGATAATATAAAATTTTAATAATATTATTATAAAAATTAGATTTAAAAAAAAAATACCAAAGTGAAAAAATTAAATAAGCAAGAAACTTTAGATAAGAAGTATTATTAACCAGAATACTAAAATTTAAACTAAAAAAAAATATATTAAACTAGACTTAATATATTAAAGACAAATTACAATTTTATAAAGTTATTTAAATTAAAAATGTATGATTAAAACAAAAATATACTAAAATACTAGAAATATATTATGAAATTAATACTAAAATTTAAATAAACATAATCTTATTATTAGTTCATAAAGTAAATAAGTTAGTTAATAAGAGAATATTCTAAATCTTATAGTCAAATAATGTATTCTAAAATAGGTAACAGCTTAACAATTATACAAAAAAAAAGGCTAAATGGCAGGTTAAATAACACTTAAATATACATATGAAAACTACAAACTTTTTAACTAATATAATATAAAGATTGAAATGTTTAAATTAGTAATCTTTTAACAAATTATAGGTAATCTTCTAACAGATTATAGGTATGATAACTAGTATAAAATCTGCAAACAGACTACTTAAATAAATAATCAAAAGTTGCATATGTAATTAATTATACACTTATATTGTACAAGTTATATATATAAATATATAATTAAAAACACATAAAGATGATAACCACCAATGGACATCGGTCTTAATAATAATAATAATAATAATAAAATCATGGCCTCACCGTTATTATTTTTTTTTTAAAAAAAAAAAAAAAAAATTGCTAAAAATTGACCAATCATATTAAAAGGTGATATATAAGAACATCGTACCTATGCGATGCCTATTTAACTCCTTAAAGTTATATAAAATTAAAATAAAAAATTTTATCAACTTCAATTAAATAGTTATTAAGATATTTAAGTTTAAAATTAAGAAAACTTAGAAAATTTTGCTTCTTTTCTATTAACTCATCTCTCTTTGAAGTGGAGTTGGACCAAACCGAACTTTAACATCTCTAATTACAGTAATGCTACCATCATCTGCAGGCCGAAAAAAAAACTTCTGCATGCACATGTTAGAAACTTTTATGCTCATTGGAATTAATTTTAAAATTTAAAAACAAAAACTTAGAGCACTATTTCTGTATACGTATTTTTTATATATATAAAAAAGAAATCACTTGATTGCTTGATTTCTTTATTTAATCATATATAAATTTTATTTTTTTAACTGTAATTTTGACGTCAAAGATTAGCAAATTATCGCATTTACAAACTGCAATTAGGCCACAAGAAGTTGAATTTTCGATTAACATCACTTTTAAAACTCTTGAGAGGCGAGAGATAAAATGAAACGAACATATAAAATGAAAAAATGTGTCAATTTGATTGGGCAATGTAAATCATGTGATTGGTGAGAGTTATCCAGCGTTTTCATTGGTTGTTCATTTTTCGGAGCTGAGGGGGGTGATGTTAATCAAAGAATAAACTTCAAAAGCCTTAATTGATTAATTGTGACTGCGCCACCAATCAATTAATTGAGGTCAAATAATTGCACCTAATTGCTTTCACAATCAATTATTCGGTAGTCTTGGTAGGAAACGGCGGTGGTATATAATCCTGTGGAAAACATGCTGCACCCTGTTTCTTTACAGCGTCTCTAATTCTAACAAATTGACCTTTATAACCCGGCACAGGTCCTTTAACATATATTAAATTTAATGCGTTGTCGATTTTGAGAATTTTGGTGCTTACAGTTACATTATTTCCTCCCATTCTACCTGCCATTTTTTTGCCTTTGAAAACTCTACCAGGAGTCTATTAACAATAAAAGATTCACATATATGTAAACAAAACATGACTGGAAATGATATAAAACTTGTGTGGATCTACCTGATTTTGACCTGTAGAACCAGCTGAACGATGAGTTTTTGAAGTCCCATGTGATGCGGGCAGACCTTTGAAACCCCATCGTTTCATGACACCTGCAAAACCTTTGCCAAGTCTAAAGAATTTACAAATTAAGAACTATTGAATTTAAAAATTAAATAATTTAAATAGAAGAATCAGTATACATCTTACGATGGCGCTTGTAAATCTACATATTGTCCTGGAACGAAATGGGCCGTCTTAATTTCGCTTCCTTATAAGAAAGGTTTTTTAAGTAATTTACAAATTAATCTTTTTTTTTCAGAAGCACTATCATACTATACAGTAACTTGCAATTGTTTTTATAATAAAAAAAATAATGTTTTAAAAATATCTTCTAAAAAAAAGTAATATAGAAACATTTTTATAATATTTCTTTTCTTCATAATGGGTTTATAACTAGTAATTATAATATTATGATAATATTTTTTTAATTACTAGTTATAAACACATTATAAAGAAAAAAAACATTATAAAAAAGTTTTTATAACAGAAAATGTTTTTATTATATTTTTAACCCATTATTTTTTTATTATAAAAACAACTATAGTAAGTTTATTTAAAATTCTCACCAACAGGTAAAACAGCATCGGAAGTAACGTGAAAATCACATAATTTCCATTTTGGTGCCACACCTGCGGCTTTAAAATGACCTAATAAAGGTCTAGAGACATTTTTCTCTTTATTAGAGCATCCGATTTGAACCGATACCAAATGTGGTTTAACGAATTTTTTGTTCTCAACGATTTGCACTACTTGAACGTCTTCAAACTTTTTTTTTTTATCATAAAAAGATTTAAAAACTTCCTTTTAAATTTATATTATCTGATTAGAATTTATAGTTACCTGCAGAATAGTACACGGTTGCCTAACTCCCCATTCATCCCATAAAGCAGTCATTCCCTTTTTCCTAGCGATTGCGCCTAGTCTAATCGAATTTTCCGTCCATTGAGGCTTTTGTTCCAATTGTAATTTCCACTTATCAATAACCTCCGTTGGTTTCTCTCGTGGAAAATATTTTGATAACACTGACCCTCGACGTTGATATCTTGTCGTATCAACGCGTGCTGGTGATGTTAAAAAAGTCCAATCTGGTTCGCCACTGGCGGAAGATGAAATTGGTTTCGAATTTCGATAAAAAAAATTTAAAAAGGCAAAATGGCGAAACTGGCGAAAGGTGGCAAAACTGGCGAAAGGTGACGAAATTGGAGAAATATGACGAAACTGGCGAAAGGTGACGAGACTAGTAAAATTATAAAAAGCAGTTGAAGCTCTTTCATGTAAGCATCGACTTTTCTATTTCTACTTCAGCGTATGTACGTACCTGATATCACACATTACTTGTGTATTTGTAACTTCCGCAATCAGAATTTTCTATAATCGTTAATTGTTTTATTAGTTATTTCACGAGTTAAATGCAATACGTACAAATAATTTTTATGCTTACCTATGAATCAATTAGATTATCTAATAGAAATCCGACTATTTTATCTGATGAATGTTTTTTTTTGATATATCATTAGATTATCCAAAATTGTGCAATACAGGATTAGATAAAAGTAATGTGATTTCAGTATTAACATATCTAACCAATATTTATATTAAAATATTAATTGTATATAAGGCCGCTCGCAGTTGATTCTTCAATTAACATCAATATAGATTTATATATTGATTTTTAATTTTATTTTTTCTAATCTAATTTTTTCACCGAACAGATGTATTGATAATCACTGATCATCAAAGACTAGCGAAAGACTAAGCGAAAGACTAAACGAAGGACTAAGCGAAAGAATTTGCACGAAACGAGAAATAATAAGTTACTTACTAATTATGCTTGTATAAATTGCATAAATTAACATTAGTCGATTAATTAATAAAACCACTAAAAGAAGTAGCTCGCAGGGACCGATCTAGGTGTCTAAGAACCTTCAGGATGTAAAAAAAGAAAAAAAAAAGTGGCGATCATTTATACAAGCTTGAAGCTTGTACAAACACGAATGTAGGTCACACCAGGAATATTATGAAATCACGATATTTATATATAGTGATCATTTTTTACAGTGGGATCCGGGTCGGATTTTTAGGCAACCATTTCTGGGCCAAAATTATCAGCTGGACAGCTTTACTTAATGCTTCATTAGTAAACCTTTTAGTGATCTTGGGCAAAGTTAGTTAATTCCGGCCCTGCGATCATGATTCCGAGGTATTCCGACCCGGAATGTCGGTGAGTTCTAGAGATCGGATTCAGATGTTTAAATGGATCCATATACAAGAAAATTTGTTTGTATTTCCAAATTATTCTTTAGTTGAGTTTAAACAAATACTATAAATTGTAGCCAGCATGATTCATTTTTAAATTCAAATCCTTAGACATGATCTAACGTACACTCTTTTGACAAAAGTCACCAGAATTTTGATTTTCATAATAATCTAACCTAATTGGATGATGATTGTTTTTTTTTTAAAAAAAAAAAATATGGATGATGATTGTAGCCATATATAAAACAATTTTTTTATATACAAATTGGTCTTTGCATAGTAGACAAATTTGTTTAACATAATGATTAGCATATAATTTGAGAATTTTGAAAATTTTGATAAATTATTTTTAGCATTTTAGTCTTGGCAAATGAAAAATAAAAAAAATAAATAAAACTTGTTTATAGCAATGCATTTTTGAACTGTATTATAAACATTTATTAAAATTTATTAAGTTTATTCTTTAAGTCTTAGAGCATATAAAATTAAATTTTTATAGAAAAATTATTAAAAGTTTTCAAGAATCATTGTGTTTAATTCAAAATTTTTAATTTTATTAAAAATTTTATTTTTAATATCTTAAAATTTTATATTATAAAATTTATAAGAAAAGGTTCTAAAAATAAAATATATATATCATTTTATTTTTTATTTTTTTTTGGTATTAAGATAAGGCCTTGCTTATATCTTTATTGGTAATTTTAGTTGTATATATTAATATATTATATATTAAGATATACTAAGATTGTAAAATATAAAATAAAAACTATATACAAAAATTAAAACTTAAACAATTTTATCAGTGACCTAAACTTACTAAGATAATTAAGACCTATCTAGATTTGTAATATTAAAATATAGTTATAAGATATACTATAATTAATTTAAAATATTGATTATATATTAATTTTTCTAATAACTTGTCTAATTGATAAACAGATATTAGAATATAAATATAATTGATCTGTTATTTTATATAGATATAAGTATATATAGTTTATATATAATCTCTTATAGCATCTGGTTTGCTATATTTGTTAAAATATATTATAATTATTAAAGCTTTAAAGAAATATAATAATAATATTTTTTTTATTTAAAAAAATCAATACAGTAGAATTTTTATATTTGGTTATAAATTTGGTTATTAATATTAAGAAGTATTTGAATAACAATTTGTAAAGTTATTTTGGTAGATATATTGTAATTATAAATTGTTTTAATTAAGGCTTTAGATATAATTCCTTTAAAAATAAGATAAAGATAAAAGAAGCTTGCTTAAAATGATATTTGGTTAAATAAAAAGTAATTTTGAATTTTGCAAGTAAGTTTTTTTTTTTAAATATCTTTGTTACTTAGACAACTAGAAGTGCAGATAGCACTCTTTATTAAGATATTATATTAAAATATTATAAATAGTCTATATACATCTTAGATATTTACAGATTAGTTTGACAGTTTTAGGTTTATAATCTAGTATGTAGTATTTTAAAACTTATATTTCTTTTAAGATACAAGCTTTTATTAATAGGCTAAGTAAGCTTAGAGGAGTATCTGAGTCTCTTCATTTTAATGAAGTATATCAATACCAAATTTCATATATTATATTAATATATAGTTAGGTTATAGTAGTTTGTGCTTGGGTACAATCAATATTAGAAGCCTAAAAGATATTTTTTAAAGTAGTTAGTAGAGGTTTTTCTTTATTAATATTAAGAAACTTATATGTCTCTTTTCAGATTATTATACTTTTAGAATACTTAAGAGCAAAGTGTTTGAGAGTTTGTAGCTTCTTAGAACACCAAAACAGCTGCCTATTTCTAAAGATCCAATGTGTTTAAGGCAATAACCTAAAAGAAAAGCTCTATAAAAAAGATACCAAAAAATATCTTTTTTCTTATTACATATAGACTTTAAAGAAAGCCAAGTAGGTTAAGTAAACTGAGGTGCAAAATGAAGAGAAATAGAAAGTAGTGTAGTCTTCTTTAGAATTCTAAGATTTTTTTAACTGAGAATACATCTTCTTTTATTTCTTCAATTATAATTTCTTTTTATCCCAAGGCCAATTAGTAGTAGAAAGAATTCTTTCTTTGGTTCTTGTTCAGACTAGTAAGTATAGTTTTCATTCTTTAGATTAGACTTTTGAGTATATATTGTCTTAACTTAAAGCCTAAATTAGAGATATGTTTCTCTTTTCTTTAAATATTGTATTTATTTTGTTTCTTTCATATTCTGTTTATATTAAGCTTGAGGCAAGAAGTTTTATTCAAATAGAGATTAGATAAGTATCTAGTATATTCTTAATAATTGATGCTTGAAGTTTTGCCAAGTCTATAGATTGTTAAAAAGTAAAATATTTGTGAAGCATTCATGAAGAGTCTTTAATTCAAAAAAAATAATTATGTTTATTTCTGCTACTTGCTTTCTGTTAAGAGATAGCAAGTATGCTAAATACCAAATTTTGAATAGAATCAGTAAGTTTGTAATAAGAATTTTTTCTTTAAAAGAAAGATTTCTATTTGAGAATTTATTAAGTAATCCCTTTAGTTTGTTAATAGTTGTAGCCCAAAGGTCTTTTTTTGGTTAACCATTTATAAGAACATTGTAGCCTAAAATAGTAATAGTATCATATTCCTTTAGCTTAATAAATTAGTCTTTATTACAAAGCTCTATTCTTTATACAATAGCAATAAGAGAAACTAGTTTTGTTTTCACTTTATTAATTTTTGCATTTGATGCAGCTTCATATAGGCTTATTAAAGATTGTACTTTGTTTTAGTTAAAAAAAAATTCAATTTCTATAGTATGATTATCAGCATATGCTAAGGTTTTAAAATATTAGTTATTTAATTTAATTTTTTACAATTATTTTTTCAGAGTTCTTATAAGTGGCTCAAAGGCTAATATATATAGTAATAGTAAGAGAGTGCCATCTTGCCTAACTTCTTTTTCTACTTTAAAAGGCTTAGAGATATTGCTTGTCTCAATAATATAGGCTTCTTGATAAGAAAAAAGATTATGAACCAGATTAATAAATTTAGAGTCAAAGTTCATACTTTCTAAAGTAAGCTTTAAAAACTTATGATTAACTTAGTCAAAGCTTTTTGTTGATTAACAAAAAGCAGCTAGTGTTGTTTAGATGCATCTGATTGGTTTCTCATAATGGTAATAATATTTAGAGCTGTATCTGTAATAAATCTGTTTTGGATAAATGCATGCTACTGATATAGTATAAGTTTTTTACAAATAAAATTTAGATGATTTGCTATAATTTTTATAAATATTTTGATATTGCTATTTACTAAAGATATGGGTCTTCAGTTGTTTATATTTTCCAAAACAGTTGTTTTTTTCAGTATCAAGGAAATCAAGCTCTTGTACTATAAGATTGTCATGATTCCTAAATTTAAAGCTTGATTAAATACTCTGTACAAAATTAAAGTTATAGCCTCTTTAGTAAGTTTGTAAAACTTATATATTAGGCCATCAGTATCTAAAGTTTTGTTGTTTAAAAGATTTTTAATAAGATTGTTAATCTTTTCTTAAGTAATTTCTTACATAAAAGCTAAATTATGGGCTGATAAAGCTTAAGGCAGATTTTCTGTAATCTTTTTAGCTAAGTTAATATTTATATCTTTTTTTGTATATATTTTGGCATAAGTGTTTCTAATATATTAAAGGGTATTTTTACTCGAATGTGATAAGATCTTAGAATCTTTAATGATTTTCAAAGATAAATAGACTTTTTTAATTTTATATTTAGCAAAAAAGTATTTTAACAATTTTTCTCTCTGCTTAATCTATTGTGCTTTTGAACATATTTGACATT